TCTTTTCACCTTGCTTATAGTTTCCTTTGTTGTGCAAAAGCTTTTAAGTTTCATTAGGTCCCATTTGTTTATTTTTGCTTTTATTTCTAAAATTCTGGGATGTGGGTCATAGAGGATCCTGCTGTGATTTATGTCGGAGAGTGTTTTGCCTATGTTCTCCTCTAGGAGTTTTATAGTTTCTGGTCTTACATTTAGATCTTTAATCCATTTTGAGTTTATTTTTGTGTATGGTGTTAGAAAGTGTTCTAGTTTCATTCTTTTACAGGTGGTTGACCAGTTTTCCCAGCACCACTTGTTAAAGAGGTTGTCTTTTTTCCATTGTATATCCTTGCCTCCTTTGTCGAAGATAAGGTGACCATAGGTTCGTGGATTTATCTCTGGGCTTTCTATTCTGTTCCATTGATCTATATTTCTGTCTTTGTGCCAGTACCATACTGTCTTGATGACTGTGGCTTTGTAGTAGAGTCTGAAGTCAGGCAGGTTGATTCCTCCAGTTCCGTTCTTCTTTCTCAAGATTACGTTGGCTATTCGAGGTCTTTGTATTTCCATACGAATTGCCTACACATAACTTTTAAACAATTCAGTGGATGTCTGAGACAGCAAGGTCATAAGAAATCAAAAAGGGCTTTGTTTTTGCAGCAGCTATCTACAAACCTTGTCTTGGGAAGCTCAGCCCTGGGCGCACTTTGTGGCTTCATAGGTAGCATGATATCTGCCTTTTGACCTCTCCCCTCTACATCAGCAAAGATAAAATTTACATTGTGTTTATTTTGTTATCCATCTAAATCCCTATACTTATTCTGTTATTTACTCTTCTCTCTGTGTCTTCTAGTAAGCCCCCAGGCACTTTACAGACGGGGGCAGGGAGGTATGACAGCAAGCTCTGGTATGTAATCCTAAGGGCCAGAGGTCTCATGAATTCCCTCCTGATCACACCCTAAGGAATCTTCTCAATCTCTTAATGGACTCTATCTACTTTTGCTTATGGGATAGACAGGCCTGTTGCTAGCAGATTTGGTTTTGTACTAGAAGGGTTTTTGTGCAATCATGAGCATTCCAGATTCTAAATTCCCAATCATCATTCCAGCAGATCCAGAAGAGTCAGGATGTTCTGTGTAGTATTTTCCTTACCTCTGGCCGGTTTATTGGGGCCCATGTGCCCCCAGGGACTGTGTTGCTGCCATGCAAAGGTTTCAAGGAGGGATTTTAGGTTAGAGTCAGACTAGTTTTTAAGGAACATAGAAGAACGCCAAGCATCAGAAGATGAAAGGACGAAGGCCTGGGAGTGGATGGTGGGGGTTTCCCAAGAAACCCCCGGAGGTCGGAACGCCTTTGCGTGCCAGATCCTTGTACCCAGACCTTGTCACGGGCGAGGTTTCTCTCGCCTGCTCCCGACAGTTAATGCACGCTCAGTTTTGAAATTTTGATGATTTTTAGTCATCTGAGATGTTACACGGATCTGTTTAAAATTTTCATTTGTTCCACAACATGAAAAGAAATATTTGTTGACATTAACTATATGCAATGGACAGCCTTTCTGTCATTTTCAGGGATAGATAAGAAAATGATTTCAAGGCAGAGCTTACCCAGAAAGAGCACACACTCTAGTAAAGAAGATGAATCACAAACAGAAGATAGATAGATATAGGGTAAAATGTACTCATATTCGTAATAAAATTACCATTCTATTTTAAGGCATGAAAAGGAGAAATACAACCTAAATGCAAGCTAGAGAAGAATTTGATTGTAGCAAGAATTTTGACATTAAAAAATTAAAGGGCCGCTTCCACCTTCCCTAGTAGCTCAGCTGGTAAACAATCTGCCTGCAATACAGGAGACACCAGTTCGATTCCTGGGTCGGGAAGATCCACTGGAGAAGGGATAGGCTACCCACTTGGTATTCTTGGGCTTTCCTCGTGGCACAGACAATAAAGAATCCACCTGCAATGCGAGAGACCTGGGATCCCTGGCCTGGAAGACCCCCTGTAGAAGGGAATGGTTACCCACTCCAGTATTCTGGCCTGGAGAATCCCATGGACAGAGGAGCTTGGCAGGCTACGGTCCATGTTGTTGCAAAGAGTCTGACACAACTGAGAGATTTTCACTTTCATTTTCTGACTTCTGGTTCTGCCTGAAGGTGCTTGAAAGTTGCCCTTCTGCGTGAAAAATAAAAAGCTGAACTGACTGAAAAGTTGAACTCTAGGATCTAGCAACAGAAGTGAGGTCGCAAGGCCAACTGCCGCCCCAAGACTGAAGAGACAGGTGAGCACCGGGAGTCAGGGCTTTTGGAGCTAAGGCCACAGGAACCAGGGCCGTGAAGGAGGATGCATCGGCGCACAGACACTCATGTGGGCAAGTCAGGGAGTTAAAAACTCCGCAAGACCCTTGCCACCGGTGGGTGTGGGCGGATGGGACACAATTTTGTGACAGGCTCCCTCAGGAGCTCAACCAGGTTCTCCCAGTAAATTAAAGCGGTTAGACCCCCTCGTGCTTCCTGCACGGGGAGGGGGAGGGCCATGTTGAAAGGCACCGGAGCACTCTGTTCTTAACAAGGTCTGCCCTCAGGAAAAAGTTAGCCATGGCCTAAACGATCTGGTGGGAAGGAAACACCGAACTCCATTCAGCTCTTGCCTTTCATGTGATAGACGGGAAATACCCAACTCCAGTTCACTGATAGCTTTCCTGATGCATCAAAGAAGGGAGGAAAAAAAATACTGAAAAAAATACTTGTGAAGTTTCCAGTCCACAGGGGAAAGCTCAGTAAAAGACTGAGATGATTAATAATCATCGGAGTACAGAACATTTTCCATTCTCCCACGTCAGAATCACAGTACAAAAATCCCTGTTTACAATGTTCCTTTTATCTCACATACCATGCCCAGCTATCAGGAAAGAGTGCAATGCACAGCAAAAGCCAAAAAACACATGTGAAGAGACAGGCCTCAGAAATAGATATGGAAGGGGTGTTGGAATTACCAGACTAGGAATTTAAAACAACCACGACGAAAATGCTAAGGTCTCTAATAGACAAAGTGGACAGTGCAAACATAGAAGCGTAAGGTAACAAAGTGATGGAAACTCAAGAAAGAACCAGCAGGAAGTTCTGTAGATCAAAAACATTGTGACAGAAATGAAGAATGTCTTTGATGAGCTTATTAGTAGGCTAGACACAGCTGAAGAAAGAATCTGAGGATGTCTCAATAGGAAGTGCCAAAACTGAAAAGCAGGTAGATCAAAGACTGGGGAAAAAAAAAAAAACACCCACAATTCAGGGACTGTGGAAAAATACAAAAGTGTAACATAAATGTAATATGAATACCAGAAGAAAGACAAAGAGATGAACAAACAGAAGAAACATTTGAAACAATAATAACTGAGAATTTTCTCATTGTCAGACACCTACCCACAGGTTCAGAGAGCTTAGCAAACATGAGGCAGGAAAAATATGAGGAGGAAAAAAAAAAAAACCCACCCTAGCATATTATTTTTAAACTACATAAAATCAAAGATTAAAAAAAGATTGTGAAAGGAAACAGGAAAAAACACCATACCTGCAGAAAAACAATGATCAGAATAACATCTGACTTCTGTTTGGAAACCATGCAAGCAAGAAGAGTGGAATGAAATATTTAGTGAGAGAAAAAACCAATAACCTGAAATTTTGTGTGTGATGAAATTATTCTTCAACAGTTACAAGTAGGTCATTTTCATTAATTTTTCTTATATATGATAAATCCATTTACCTAGAGACAGCAGTCTGTTTTGATTGGAAATAAAGTATTCTCTTCGCTCCATTTAATTTCTGCTTCTGGAATTTATGTGTGTGACTTGATGTGGAATTAATTCCTCAGGAATTACCTTTCCTCTCTGTACTTTGTGTTTATCTGGCTTCTGGGATTATTCTTTAAAATATCTTTTATTGTATCATGTTATCTTTCTAACGAATGCAATCTATTGTTCCAGTGTCTCCATCATACTTTAAAGGGTGGTTATCATACTTTTCCATTTTATTAAAACTTTTCCTCATCAGAGTGTTCCTTTTTCTCTTCTGCCTGTTCCAGGAATAAATATGCAACATTCCTTCAAATCTCATTGAGATTACCAATGAAGACATTTGTTGCAAGTCCTAGTGTTTTTCATAAATTTGCAGCTTTCCATGTATGATGAGTCTTCTCTTTGTAAATATTTAATGAGAGCATATTCTTCTAGTATTTAGTTTCTGCTCAGATCTTCTTTGTGTAGTTGAAGAAGGAAGGAACTGTTCAGATAAGTTGCAGTTTTACTTTACTTACCCAGAGATCTTGAGTTCTATCTGAAGGAGGAGGAGGAGGAGGAGGGGAGACTGGGAGGAGGAGGGGAAAGTGAAAACAAGATATAGCTCTCACAGGGATAATGTTAGTCCTTTTAGCCTCATTTTGGGTTGACTGTGGCATCACAGCTAGCTTGGAAAGTCCCCTTCTCTAACTGGATAACTAGTGCCACTAGAACCCAGCTGTGCAAACGCCTCACTGTGTCTGGCAGGCTGTCTGTACCAGCGATAAACTGAATGTTAGCGCCTGGTTATACCTCGTCCCTGGATGTGACAGCTGCGAATTATTCAGGCTCATGAAAGGTGGTCTCGCGTGACTGCTGCCCCAGCTCCTCTGCCGCCTCTGGGGCTGGTCGTGTAGGAGTTCTGCTGTGGATAGGAGAACCTCTCCCCTAAGCTCTTTATTTCCTCACAGTTTTCCTTTCCATGAGGTAAATGGTGGGCTGGACATCTCCTCTCACTTGATTCAGTTTTCCCTACAAAACAGTGTATAAAAATTGCACTAACTTTCTAACAGGAAGAAAACTCAGTTTCCAGCACAGGTATATACATATTTTACCAAAGATTACCTTATGGTTTAGCTCTTTAAAGATTTGAAAGGGAAAGTGAGGTAAATGTGTAAAGTTCAGAATATCATGTGAATTGACTGTTCACAGTTTGTTTAAAAACAAAAATCAAACATTCAAAGAAATATATCAGCAATGTTTTAATTATTTAATTGTTGGCAAAAATAATCTAATAGACCATTATAAACGTTTATATATGTTTATATAAAAGGACAGAATATATATGTTCTATTTAATTAACACTTGAGTGATCTGAAAACTACTATATTCCATGAATGACAGAATATAGAACAGAAGCTAATTATTCCATATATATATAATTACTTCAAAATATTATAGTATCCAAGTTTTAGAGTGAATCTTTCAGTGTGTCCTTCTTTGGTACACAATCATTCTTTTATTCATGAAAAATCATCAAAATTTGGTAACTTATAGTCTTGTCAATATAAAAATGTTAATAGTTGCAGATTATAGAAGTTAAATGCAGTGTGATTTTCTGAACAAAAAAATACGTTTGACAATATGAATATTGAGTATTATTTGAGCATAATTGTAAAAATAAACACTGAAAATTATGTTAATTTTGAACTTTTTTGAATATACCATTTTTGCAAAATAACAGTTGTTACATAGGAAGTAACTAGATTTAATAAAATAATATATGTTTATATTAGTATTACTTTAAAAAGGCTTTAATTTTTCTGTACAGATTGAAAACAAAGCAGGGACTCTAGTTCAAAGCGATTCATCATAGGAAGTTATGTTTAAATGTAAAAATTTCTATAGCCTTTCTCCAAAATGCACGATGAAGAAGAAAATGTACAAAAACATTTATAAGTAAGTGATATAGAAAATAAACTCTTTAATTTGCAAAGTAAAACCATATGCCTGAAGCTTCAGGTATCCTAGTATAATTTACACATGCTGTAATAAGTCATTTACATAAAGAAAAAAATCCACACAATTTTCTTTTACATAATCCCAATCAAGGTACGGACTTCAGATTTTCTGAGACTTTCATGAATGTACTATCACACTCCTGCTCTCTGTTCACTTAGTCATTTCAAAGAACATGAAGTCCTAGAGAAAAACAAAATACAGAAATGAGTTTTCAGCACCAAGCAGAGATCAGCTCTCAGATGCATAAATGCTAAGGGATCTGAAGAAACAAAATAACATACTTGCTAAACAAGAAAAATCAACTGTAATAGGTAGATCTAGGAAAAAGTGATAGCTTCAACTTTCCAGTTTGAAGGCAATTAAATCCTACAATTCTGTTCATTTATGGATACCTGCATGAACTTAAGTAATTCTCAGGTAATTTCTGCAAGTTTCACTATTCTTCATGCTTCTTAGAATGTTCTTCTTTCAATCTTTCTGCCTCAACTTTTTGAACTCCTTCTTTAGTAATATAACTTGTGTCATGACTGTACATGGAGTTCCATGTACAATTTTTAGATTGTTTCAGGAGAATGACAGCCATCTTAGACTTAGAATAATATCTTAGAATTTTGGGGCCCAATTTTATGACTTCTCTTCCAAGCCTGTCTCTCTGTTCCTCAGTTCGTCTTGCTCCCATCAGTTTCTAACCAAATCTTCATCCCTGTGACTTCCAGACTGTATGGATTTTAGCTCTCTCACATCTGTCATTTTCCTTTATCCCTTTAGAAAGAAATAACTGAATCCTTAAAACCATCACTTGCAGTTGCACTAACACAGTTGGTCATCAGGATTTATCATTCTAAAATTTGGATTTATAATTATTTCTATTTATACATAGCTTAAAACTAACCAGTTAACTAAACAATTTTTAGTATCTTCCCAAGGTCTATAAGAAGTTGCCCAATCTACCCTATATTCAGTTCCTAATAACCCCACTCCAGTATTCTGGACTGGAGAATTCCATGGACTGTATAGTCCATGGGGTCACAAAGAGCTGGACATGACTGAGGGACTTTCACTTCATAACCCCCCACCACCCTCCAATCCCATATCTCATCTAACCAGACATCACTCTCTCTGCCCTATACACATCATATCTTTGGTTATGGTGTGTAAACCTTTGGTTAAACAGTTCCCCAAGATTAAGATTACAGTTTTCTTCTCATGTGAAATAAACATTTGTTGAAAGCACAGTTTTTAAGCAGAATTGTGGTTATCTTTAAAATTTTATATAGAAAATCTTGTCTATCCCAATTTAGATAGAATAGCATAGTAAAGTGCCAGTGACTACTCACCCAGCTTAGTTCACCAGTTAATCCATCCCTTACGCCCCCCTGACTTCACTGCCCTTCTTTAAAAGCAAATCTGTGATAAATAACCATATCATTTCGTACTGAAATACTTCAGTACATACCCTTAAAAAATATGGACTGTTTTGTTTTTGCATAACCATAATAACAACATCATTTTAAAAACCTTACTAATTCATTAATATCATCAAATAGCCAGTGTTCACATGTGCATGAAGGTCCTGTAAATGTCTTTTTATATTGGTTTGTTTAAATCAGTATCCAAACACAGTCTACAAACTATATTAAGCTGATGTTTCTCTTTTCATTTTTATCTTCTGATATTTATTTGTTGAAGTAACTGAATCCTTTTCTGTATATTCTCTCACTTTTTAGTGTTTTTTTTTTTTTTTTTCTGACTGCTTCTGCATGTCAGTGTTAAAGATATTAATTTAGTGGCTCCAACCTCACTTGCATTGCAATCATATGACAGCTTGAACACTTGATGGCTTGGTTCCATCTCCAGATTTAGTTTACTGGATCTGGGTACAGTCCTGACAGCGGGCGTGAAAAAGCTACCCAGGTGTTCCTACTGTGTGGCTACGGTGGAAAACCGCTGTCTGAACCCAGAGACCTTGACATTGGCCACATACGGAGTCGTCTGGGGAGCTACACGAACGTTCAATGGTATGCTTCTGATTTAGTTAAACTGGGGTATGGCTTACTACTAAAAACTTCCGAGCTAATTTAATGTGAAGGCAAGTTCAGAATCAATGGTGTATTCCATATATTTCCTCTCAATTGATAGCTCCATCCAAGACTTGATCAAATGTACATTCTTATTGAAGTTTGTATTTCTGTATTAGACAGTTTAATAGTGAATAAGAAAGAAATTTCCTTGTTTCACTGAGACATATTTCATTTAAATACATTAGAAGATTCAAACTCTTCTCCAAAGTACTAGTTTGGGGTTTTTTTGTTATTGGTGGTGGTGGTGGCTTTTTTTTTTTAACCACTAAAACCAGAACTTCTCCTTAACATGCAAGATCCTTCTGTTACAGTGTGAAACTACAGACTCTCCAGAGAGGAGCTGGTCACCTGTGAACCAAGAGTAGCAGAAGAAAATGGAATTTCAGAGCTAAGATTAAACAGGACCACTTTCGATAAAACCTACAAATTTAAAAAAATTATTTCAGAATAAAACTAGAGAAACCATCTGTACCCTAGATTAGCAGGAGTAAACTTACAATGAGGAAACATGCGCCAAGCATCACAGCCTTCATTTTCACATCAAGGTCTAACGGGAACTGGATGCCAAAGTTATCGGCATCTGTAAATAACTCTCTAACAAGGCCAGTCCAGTGCTTGGAAATCTTGCCAACCACATACTTATCATCAAGAGATTTAACCTAAATTGGAAAAAAAAAAAAGGACAAAAACTTCTAGCAAACTAACAAAGCTACTTTCCAAGTAGAAGTAAAATGAAACCAATATTAAAATTATATGCCATTCATAACTGTGAACATTATATCACTCAGTAGATGAAGGTAGATTCCTATATTTACAGATTCATTTTAAAAACTTTATTTGCTACAGAGAACTAATATGAAAGTAGTTTAGCTGAAATAGTTAACATTTTCTATTCTCCATTACGATATACAGTAATAAATTAGTTGAATCTATCCAAAATAAAATTCAAGAAGGAAAAGATACAACTATGAAATTATTCTTTGAATGAAATTTCTAAAGCCATCTGGTGGGGGGAGCAGGTAATAAATGAAACTCTAATCTGACTTCAGCTTTAAGATTAGCACAGAAAGTTGACATAGGTCGAGTGTTTAAAGGTGATGGAAGGACTCAGGAAAACATAAAATGCCAAGAGGCTGGAAAAGAGGAATGGCAGTTTTGAGTGAAATAAAGTAACCAATAAGTAATTCGATGGGATGCCCCAGGTCAAGGGTCGGGGTAAGACTGGACAACAGAATGGGACTGAACAATAAAAGAGGAAGGATGTATGAAACAAAAGAACTCCAAAACAAGGTTTTTCCAGTTGTATGTTTCTATCTGAATAAAGCTCAGGCCCATGATAAAGAAGGGAACAGCTTATAGCCCATGGAATGCACCTCACAACGTGGGCATGTGGGGGCTGAACGTAGCCCACACTCGCCAGGGTATTTATAGGCAGGGCTATATCAGAGCAGGAAGGGAAGCCTGCTTTTCAGATGTGCACGAGGCACCACACATGCTGGCAACAACATTTGAAGCCCTCTCTTAGGCTGAAACCAGCCACTAAATATGGGAGATTAAAAACAGTGACTCATTTTATTTGGATGAAGATAGTTAAGCTCTTTAAAAACATGAAATAAACTCCTACTAAGAATGCTGTGATAGCCTGGGTTACTGTTCATCAAATAGTCATTTCAGTGTCCTCCCTCTGAAATTAGTATACTTCCCTGCTCACTGAAATGAAGACTTGGCCACATTCCTTGTTTAACCAATGGAGGCTTAATGGATGTGACACCAGCAGAGATCTTAGACAGCAGAGATCATGGCCTTGGTCCTGCTCTCCAGTGATCAGCCACTAAAAAAGCATGATCCGGGCAGCTGCTGTTGATGCAACTCCAGAGCGAACACACCTGGAGCAGACCTGAGGCCAACTTACAGCCTAAGTCAGGGCCATCTGTCTAAGCCTAGGTATATCCTCCAGACACAGCTGACCTTAAGATCCATAAGCGTGAGAATAAATTCCTGTTTTCTTTAGCCACTGGGTTTTAGGGGCTGTTTGTTGCGCTACAATGCCAAAACAGACTAACAGAATTCCCTAGTGCACACTCGCATGTTTCATCTGCTAACAGCTGTCATCTAAACGTCTATACCTTACATTTTATTTTTAATTTAATTTTTGAAAAATTTTAAATGAAATATACAGAAGATAATTTATCAGCCACCACAATCCTACTACTAAACTTACAAGATATTAAGATTTCCTTTTTTTCTTTTTGATTTCTATAGAAAGGAATTTAAAAATTCACCAAAAATTTATGTAAGAAGTAGAATATACAAATTTTTAATGGAAAGGAACAGAAAAGCATATACGGATGTACAACTGGAAAGTCAATAGGACTAGATGATTTTTAACTAAATTCTAAAAAAAAAAAATTAAAAACAAAAACCTATATAATAAAATGATTTCAATTTCTAGAAATAATAAACATATTATACTACTATTATGTTGATTAACTTATAAATTTAATACAAATAACTGATAAACTATTCTAAAAAGAAATCTATAGGTTCATTATAAGGGGGCTAGCCCTACTCAGTTTTAGAATTTGTCCCTTCTGTAGAAATTGTCCAGTTTAACAGATTTTATGCTTATATAAGAGAGTTGTGGTATCAAGATTAAGTGTTATAGTTGTTTGACTTTTAAGCATTTGCATCCAATTAATTTGGTCTGTAAACCTGGGCCCCATTTGTCGAAAAATTGCTGAAATGAAGTTTCTTGAGGTAGTAAATACACAGATAAATTGTGATTTCTAATTACTTTAATACAAGGATAAAGGACAGATCATAGAGAAGCATGGTAGGGTAGTACCTCATATATTATTGTTGTTAAAATTCTCTTTGTGTAGTTGGGCTTTTTGTAGGAACTCAAAGATGCCAGAGATTCTGAAGAGGGCTTAGAGCACTGATAGCCTGTGATTCAGACTAAGGAAACCAGACGTTAATGACTAGGTTAATGTCCCACTCAAAGGGATAATATGCAGTGCCTCTACACAGAAACCACCATGTTTAAAGTTTATTAACTAGAAAGCAAAACCTATAAACATTATCACATGTCTTACCTCAAAATGAACATCTGCACAACAGCTGCAGGCAACACATGGCCCAGAAATTCTTAGCACATCCTCTCGCCTCTCATTTTGAACTGCAAACTTTGGCAGGCAAGGGTGCCAGGTCTGAGTAACGTAACCTACTGGGACACCAGGAGGAGCCTGGATTTCTATCTACAAAAGCAAAAGAATATACAAGGTGTTAGTCAGACACTGCTCTAAGCACCAGTTAACTCACTCCATGTCCTTACCAGGTTGCTACTGTTACCCCTATTTATAGGTCAGTAAGCGGGGAACAGAGAGGTAAGTTAACTTGCATCAGGCTCCCCAGTGGCGAAGCGGGAGAGAGGAGACAGCAGCTGAGGGAGGCCACATGCCCACATCCACTCTGGAGTGCTGCTCTATCGGTCTCGCATATTTTTAGATTTCCATACTTATGAAAAATGTCTAAATTATTAACAGCTATTTTTTAAACTCCTTTAAAAATAGGGGTTTAGATGTATGGACAGAGCCCTGATCACTGGAGCAATCTTCAAATAAGGTCAGTAGTGCTAGGACAGAAACAAGATGGGGCCTGGAATCTTGAAGCTGAACCTCAACTCCGCAACCTTGAGAGCATCTCGGCATGTTCATCTGTAACTGAGGACTTCCTAGATCTGTTTATTACGGCCAATCGTATGCTGACATGCTCTATAAATTGTAAAGCATATTCTATCAAACTCTGTTTTACCTCAGCTATTCTTGAATATTATTATATCTAAACTAATTGACTTGGAAAACAAAATAATTCAGTGTGAACAGCTTCAGTTATCCTTTCAAACATCAGTGCAGTGTTAGACATCAAACGTCCATGTGCCTGTAGCTGTCTGCCCGGCTCTCAGCGACCTGTGTGGACGACGGAGCAGCCTGGCAGCACTGGTCTCAGGCCAGCGGCGGTGCAGGCGAAGGTCAGCTTCCTCTAACACTCTGCGCCCGGGGGCCCCCCGAGACCGTGCTCTCTGTCAGAGCGCTGCCAAGTGCTGTGGGAGAGACCCCTGGCCTTTACGGGCCTGAAGGCGCTCACAGCTCGCCCTGTCCTGTAGTAGGAATTACAGGAACTCCAATATACTACTTTTTCAAACGGAGAGCTGGAAGACACAGGAACTGAAACTTCTCAGAGGGAGCCTCTACTAGGGCCGCTCCCTGCGTGCGCATTCGTGCTCAGGCACGTCTGACTGCGGGTCCCTAGGCTGCGGCCCACCAGGTTCCTCTGTCCACAGGACAGTTCAGGCAAGAACACGGGAGCGGGTGGCCATTTCGCACTCCAGGGAGTCTTCCCAGCCCAGGGACTGAACCTGCGCCTCTTGGGTCTCTTGCACTGGTAGGCAGGTTCTTTAGTTGTGTCAGACTCTTCGTGACTCTATGGACTGTAGCCCACTGGGTTCCTCTCCCCATGGGATTCTCCAGGCAACAGTGGAGTGGGTCGCCATGCCCTCCTTCAGGGTATCTTCCCAATCCAGGGATGGAACCCAGTTCACGCACATCTACCTGCATTGGCAGGAAGGTTCTTTACTGCGAGAGTTACCTGGGCCTTAGCTCCCTGCAGGTTGGCTAAAATTATGTGATGAACGTATGTGTCCTTTTCCTCACTCTTCTGAACACTTGCTACTGGGATGGCATTTGAGGATGTCCCCTACGGGGCTCTCATCTGGCTTTGGCCAGGCTCTCATGGTCATTTCAGGTGAGGGACTTGACCAGGTGCCCTCCATTCTCAGCTCTCCCTGAAGATCAAGAAGTCTGGTCTCTGAGCTCTCTGATCTCAGCCCAGAGGGCACACTGCTCAGGGCGGTGCGGCTAACGGCTTACTCTTTTCCACCTGCCTCCTTCCCACAAGTTACTCTCGAGCATAAACTAATAGCTGGCGAACACTTCACCTTTAACTCTCACTTTATTATGTAAATTCACCGATAAGGTGAACATTCCCACAGAACCACTTTGCAAAGTATTTGTAAGTATCACCGTGGATGGCTCACCCACCTCCTGCAGGCAGCAGGGACAGCAGCAGCAGGTACACCGCAGCGGTCTCTCCAGAGTTATGACTTCTCGGCCCATATTATCAAGAATCCTCATGGTAAAAGGCCTAGAAGGCCCCCAGCAATTTCGAGTACAGCAGTCAGTATCCTCTGACGCAAAGTAGACCCTCTGTCCGAGGCTGTTCTTAATTTCATATTTGTTTCTAGTTTCAAAACCTGTGAGGACTGAAAACATAAAAGAGGGACTCATTATGACTACAGTGTTAAAACAATCATCAGTCTATCCTAAGATGCTATAGTGTCTAGCTCTACCGTTTTTAGATGGCACTTCATTTAACACAGGAGGAAGAAAAGGAAAGGTGTTTAGGAATGATCTAAACGTAGAAAAAAGGTGACAGGAATGGAGGAGAGGGTATTAGAGCACAGAGAAATGTGGAATTTCTATGAGACACAGGGGGTTCCCAGGTGGCACAGAGGTAAAGTGCCAGCCAGTGAGGAGAGGCAAGAGATGGGGGTTCAATCCCTGGGTCAGGAAGACCACCTGGAGTAGGAAATGGCACCCTACTGCAGTATTCTTGCTGGGAAAATCCCATGGACAGAGGAACCGGCAGGCTCCCATCCCTGGGGTCGCAAAGAGTGCGGCACAACCGAGCAACTTCACACACGTGCACACGCCCGTCCACAGCCCTCGCTGGCCGAGTCACAGGGCATCAGCAGTCATCGGAAGACGGAGCAGTCAAAAACCAGTGGTAAAGAACTTTGCAGAGGTGTGCAGAAAGATTTAATAGATATATTCTAAAATCTATTAGCGTTTTCACTGAATTGTCCATAAGGAAAATACATTGGCGCGTGACTTTACCCAGGCTCTCTCCCTGGCAGCGGCCCTGAAGCATCCGCTGGCTGTCTCACGTTTGCTTTGCACCTGAGGAGCTCTGGGCCAAAGGAGACAGCTGTAGGAATCAGGCCCCATCCATAGGAACGGCAGCGACACCCTAGGAAGTCAGGCGTGGCTGACTGGTCAGCACCCTTCAGTGTGGTGGCCCTGTGCCAAGGTGATAGTTCATAGCCCGTGGAACAAAGGTTTTACAGTGTTCACCTGAACTCCCAAGAAAAACCATGGACAATAATGAGGTTTTCAAAAACATCCCTATCCCTCCAAAGTCAGAGTTCATCTACTTTGGAAATGTAGTAAGGTAACTGAACTATTGCATGTGGCTCTTTGACAATCTCAAGCTCATCACAAACTGGGGAAAAAAAAGTTGGAAGAGATAGAGGTTAGGGTGGGTTAGAGATAGAATCACTGAAGTGATTTCTAGAAAGAAGACTGAACAAAAGTAAGTTTTGATTGGTTTCCTCCCAAGTCATGGTCTGTATCATGAGGACAGATGTCCAGCTTAATGGTATTTTACCACTTGACTATTAATTTCAAAAAATGAGCTGCTGATGATCCTTATCAGGATTATCATTATCACAGATAATGGTTTTTAAAACCAGGTTTAATTTCAACATCACTGAAAGTGTTATATCTGTGTTTGATGATATGCTTTTATCTGCATAAATGTCCTCTCTTCCTAGAAATATGATAAATACAATGAATACATACCTTCCAGCAGTTCCATTTGCTGATGAATCAACAGCTGATCTATCTATTACAGTGAAAGAAAAAAAAGAGCTGTAACCATGCTATTAAGCCAAACAAATTAACATCAGTGTTTGTATATTTTAAAAGAATGTATATGATCAGTTATCAACATTTATCAATACTATCAATAGTTAATAACTGTTTATTTCACATCTAGGTATAAAATTAAAGTTAGTATATTTTTAAAAACTACTGAAATGTGTTTATTTTTAATGTGGGCAAATTCAGGGCAAACAAAATTGACTTACACTGGAATCCCTATAAAATTAGAAAAAAATGTTCCTTCCAGAAAGGGCCTAAAAAATATTAAGACCTTTTCATCCATTTAAAGAGTTTTTTCTACAAATAAAGAACATTTTTCTTTTAAAGTGTGCTTGATATCATTTGTGGTAGGTGATGACTTCCCCAAATATATTGTAAGGGCTTAATTTTTCTTTAAAAAAATATACTTAGGGTATTTCTTAGGGAATTTAGGAACTACCAAAATTCTTATATTATATGCTGCCCAAGTGCATTATGGGAAATTAGTGCAGAATGCAAGAGAGACAGCTCATTTACTGAAAACTAACTTACCAAATTTCTAATGGCAAACAAACACTAAACCTCACATTGCTGAGGTAAGCCGTTATGCTGTACATTAAAACCCAGGAATGTGTTTTCCTTATTGGTAGCATTAATAAAATTGGGTCTTCCAAAGAACAAAAGCAACATAAAAATGTAATTTTCTAATTATTATAAAAGGTAGGTCATATTATACACAGGTTATTAACTCCTTTCTTAGTACCACTTGTGGAAAATGAACACTAAATTGAGTTTGATGTTTCTTTCCAACTGCTGGAAAATTATTCAGTGTTGGGATTTCAGTGTTGGGATTAAAGGGCACAGTTTTCAGAACCAAGGTCCCGGAAATAAAAACTCGTTCCTACTTCTTGTGCATTTGGATGTTGAGCAAATTATGTAACTTCTCTGGACCTAAGTTTCTTCTTCTGTAAAATGGTGATAATTATAATACTTACATATCACAGAATTTTTAAAAAAGAATTAAATGAGTTAATACATGTATTATACTTAGGGATAAAGCATGGAAAAATAGTGCTTACTAAAGGTTTGATATTGGCTGTTACTGCAGATTATATTCAAAATCATAGAACACACAATTTCCTAAAACATTTGCATTCTGCTGTAAAAGTAGACCTGACCTAGAAGAATTAGAGTAATTTGATAGTAAAGTTGTTTACTGTTTCACACTTTTGTGAATTAGTCAATTGTTATTCTCATTAAGTAAACTGGGAGCACAGTTTTGTTTTCAATGAGTGTTTTAGGTATTGAATTACCTGAGTTAAATATTCCAGCCCCGGTGGGCAGTTTAATGGAGGTAGTGGTGCTGGCATCCATGATACCTGGGTGGGCTCACCTGGGTGACTAGTCACTGGCTGGTGTTGGACAGGAAAGCCAGCTAGGCCAGGACTTGCATAACCCGCTGGTGGCACTGGATAGCCAGCCTGGGGGCCAGGACAGCCAATATATCCCGGAGGTCCTGAAATACGAACACGGGAAATAATTCCTAACTGCACAGAAAAATGTAAACCAAGTCTTTTAGGATCACCCTAGTTGTCTACAAACTACAATTCCTACTCAGAAATCCTGTAGAAACAGGATTCTAAGATAATGTTAAATCTTAAGATATTTCAGATTCTTAGGATTCTAAGATATTTTTATCTTTCAGTGATTTTTCAATGAGATATCTGTGATTTCATGTCCACTCCTATTTTGAGGGTTTTAGGCTCTGTGTACAGAGTTGCCACACAGACTTACCCTCATCACTCAAAACTCAGATGAAAATATGGCTGAAAACCAAGGAAATAAAAGAAGGTCAACAAACAATCTAGAGTCAGGTACATAAAACTTCTGAAATGGCTTCTTGAAAAAGAGGGATGGCATTGAGTAGAAAGCCCAAAACAGAGGCTCTGAGTCAGCATTTCTATAGCCAAGCCACCTTGTGAAAAAAATGATTCTAGAATTCTAACAAGTGACATCTCCTATACGTATAGATTTGAGAGTAGTTTTGTCCCTTCCTTGTATACTCGACAACATCTGGAGACCCTTCTGGCTGTCAAGAGGGTAGAATTAGCATCAGGTGGGCAGAAGCCAAAGATGTTGCTAAATAGCCTAAAAGCACAAGAACAGTGCCTTGAAAAAAAAAAATAACTATCCTGCCAAAAATATCATGGCGCCTTTGCTGAGAAACCCTCGTAAAGAGGTAAAGGCGTGTCATTGCTTCCACTAGTCCAGATACTCCCCTTGGGTTAACAATTTGCCTGAAGTTTGAACCCATGGTGTATTCCATTCCTAAAACTCTCCACATAGGGGAAAAAAAAAGTTTAATTATGATACTTATGTTCCAAATTTAAATTTCACAATTTAGCAAGTCTCTGGAAAATACAACTTGAGAATCAAGGAAGGTAAAAACTTCTAGCAAGCAAAATTGTCTCAAGTATTTATTAAGCACAGTAGAGGAAGAAATTCAATAGGTATTTATTCTATTCCACATGAATTTGTGATTACAAATATGAAGCTTTGTAACTTTATAACTTAAATGAACAGTCTACAGAGTAACTGTTCCATAGGAATGGAATGTAACTTCAAAGAAATTACTGTGTCCTACAATATTTTAATAGTTGTTTGTTGTTTTCAGTTGCTAAGTCCTGTCGGACTTTTTTGCAACCCATGGACTTAGCCAACCAAGCTCCTCTGTCCATGGGATTTCCCAGGCAAGAATACTTAGTGGATTGCCATTTCCTTCTCCAGGGGATCTTCTCAACCCAGAGACTGAACCCATACCATCTGCATTGTCAGGTGGGTTCTTTACAATTGAGTCAGCCACCAGGGAAGCCTCACCCATTAGGTACTGTCTGTAACATTAACATATCTATTTTTAAACAGCACTGACTATAGTGCAAAGATCAAACCACAAGAAGCCAGTGAGGGAGAGATGTGAATTAACTGGTTACATTATTAGCATCATTAAATCTTCACAGGATTCTTTGAGAGAATAGTTATTTTCCAAATCAATGGATTAAACAGACATATGGAATTACCTGAAATAATATTTCATTTACTTAAAGCCCAACTGATTTAATATATTACAAATATAATAGCAAATATTTGTCATTTATTAATTGCAAAGCATTGTGCTGGGTGTTTTACACATAGTCTCATTTAATTTTCAGACCACCTGAATTAGAAAATATTATGCCCATTTTATACACAAGAACTGAGGCTTGGAGGTGCAGCAACTTGCTTAAAACCACTACACAGTGATTAAATATAGAAGCCAGAACTTGAAGCCTGATCCAGTCTCTCTCTGACTGTTTTTGCACTTGCATAAAGGGGATAATGAATAGTATTTACCCTGTTAATATTCCCTGAGAACTAAACGAGTTATTCCACAATCCATCACTGTTGTTAGCTTCATTATCACAAAAGACCTGTACTACATGAGCCTCAGACTTGAGAAATAAAGTTGAGCTATTTTTCTCACAAGCTCTCCAGTCTGGTTATAACCTAATTATGTACCATCTACTGTTATTTAGTCATGGGTGGATTAAAATATCCCCCAAGTACTAATAATTCTCTAAACACCAACCATATAAAAATTTCAAGTAGCAGTTCTCAGCCCTGGCTGCACATTAGAATCACCTGGAAATTTAAAAATTACTAATCCCAGGGTCCCACAACCAGAGCTCCTGCTTCAATTTTCCTGGGATGGTGCCCTGGTACTAGTGTTTTCAGCAGTTAACAAGTAATACTTAAGCCTAGGCACCTCTGAGAACCATCATCTTAGAACCTTGGCAGCCTTTCTACGTCACTTTTTTTTAAACACAAACATCTGGAGGAGATCAGGCTTCACTGAAAGGTTCCTGGCTAGACAGCTAAACAAGTGACTCAGTTCCAAGCAGATGTGTTTGCTCAGAGTAGAATACAAAATGTGTAAACCCCTGTGGCCAAACAAGATCCCTTTTGATCCTAAGTCCTGGTCTCTCAAAAGTAGATGCCTACTTGCAAATGAACTCTGCCATCTGGTAAATTTCTGGAAATGCTGATGACTCTGTTTGTCTAAATGAAAATCTCTGAAGTCTTCTAGACAGTGGTTCAAAAAATATAATATATTCCTTGGTATATGTAGTGATATGACTCAGTTATTTTCTTAGAAAGGCAAGGCACAGTTGAGTATGTATATAAAAGTAAAGCTTTCACATTTTTGTATGTTTCAAAATGAAAGTGAGAACTATCCCAGGTAGCTCTGTTTCTGATGAGTGAAGCTTCCATGCTTAAGCAGTTAGCTCTTTTTCATGACAATCACTGAACACAATTAACTCCAGACAATAAATAACTCAAAAATACCCAGAGACAAATCTCCTAAACGTGATTGAATGACCATAATTTTCAGAACAAATTGGGAATCAATAAAATCTGTTACTGAATATGTATATTTTGGTTTTTAATTTATGTGCAAACTTATATTTCATATGCTGTCAACTCACTACTGTTTTTACTATCCTGTATAGAAAGAAATATTTTAATGATTCTTATGATAACATATAATCAAAGAAAAAAATCAAGTACCACACTGTCAATTTCATTATTGCCCCTTTAATAAAAGACACTACTAAAATACACACAGAGATAGGCACACACATACACACACACACACATCCTTTGGGGAATGTCCATAACTGATAAATTTTTTTTTTTTTATTCTTTAAGCAAACTTTTACCTGAGAATGCTGCTGATGGATATTCAAGGGGATACCCACCTGTTAAATTTGTTCCTGGGTGTGGAGCATTCATTTGCACATCTGTAATTCAACAAAAGGTAAACATATACCTTCTTAAAAATATATATACATATCAGAAAAATGCATAGTTCTTAGATAATTTCATTTACATGCTCTCGTGTTGTACTGAAACAGTGTGGATTCTTCACTTAACAAAAGTTGTGCCTGTTATCAAAGGTAATTTGCAGTCGAATCTTGGTTCAAACAAATTCTCTTTGAATAGCAGCAAAGTTACTGGGACTGAATTTCTATTTCTCAAAAAAGTTTGATGAGTGTTGTCTTCCATATTTTGATTTCGTTATGAGGAAAAAATAGATTGTTTTAAAACCACACATAGACTGTGGAGAAACAGATACATGAAACTAGTTGGATGTGGGTTTGGTAATGGAAGGATTATAGGTGACTTTAAAGCTATCTATAATTGTTGCTATAAGAATTATGTTTTAAATATTCAAAATTATACTTGTACTTCAGTATTTAAATATCCTTTTAATGCTTACTCTGGAACTACCCCCATTAAGTTTATACCATAGGGAATTCCCAGCATTTGACTGATTTTGACTGACAAAAATCATAACTGAGTTAATTACAATAAACAAACATATTACATTTTGCTATCTGCTAATCAGTGTGCTTTGAATAATCTCATGTATGTACAAATTTTTCAGTTTCCTACTTCTTCATATTTGCATTTGTCTGATCATCCCTTTAGCAGCCACCGTGGCCAGAAAATAAGTATTTACTAGCACGTCCTGTGTCACCCCGCTACACTGGCTCTGCCTTTATGGAATTTATGATCTAGCAGACACTCCATTTATGCAATGTTCTCCTTTCTTTCCCATGGCTTATTAATTGTAAATTCAAAATAGTTCAGTTTTGAATAATGGGAACATAGCATGAATGTAGAAGAAAAAGTTGACCAGACTTTGAATCTGACACATTTCCTGTATGTTTCTCTATCATGTGTCTTGAAAGACCACTCAGGTCATGTGATTACACAGGAAGACTGGGTTAAGCCCCACTCCTACCACCTTTTTTTCCATTACTGGCTTCATAATAACTTCAGCTGAATGGAGCTGATGCATACGACGCAAATTCAAGCAACAGAAAATCCTCTACTTGAGTCAGGGCTTTCCCCCTACGGACCACAGCATACCCCAAATTAGCACACATCGCTGCAATATCACAAGTCTTTCTGGCCTAACCGCCTTTTCTTTTTTCGTCCTGGCTTCAGGTGAGCGGGACGGCTCCAGTTCTCCAGCTCCTCGGGCTCTGCCCACAGCCCCTCACAGGGTGAGACTCAACAGATCTCGAGGAAACACACTATAAGTGTAACTCAGAGACCCATCCTCAAATGGTATGTCACATTTTGACACTTCTTACCAGGTACTGCTGTTTGAACAACAGTAAACACACACACAAATCAAGGAGCTGACAGATTCAAGACATTAGGCGGCTATAATCTCTGGGGTTTCAGTATCAGAGCAACAATCCCAGTTTCAGGAATTCCAGGGGGAAGTTATACAAAGAAAAACAATAAGTGAATGGGCAAGCGTTCAAGTAGATCAAAGAGCAAATGACTCATGGATGCATTTCTGCATTTGTGCAGCGCAACTCAGAATAACTTAAAAAATCATAGGACTTTCATATTGTCAACGAGTGATTTTATTGTTATTGTACATATTGTATATTGTATATATTGTTATATATATTTATTGTATATATATATACACACACACACACATATACATTCTACTTATGTACACATATACACACAAATTCATATATTTGTATATATGAAACTGAAGAGTTAAAAGGTAATTATGATCATGACCCAATCAATTTTTTAAGTGATTTGAAGAATCTTAAAGCTTACAGGAAAGAAAATAGCTTAATATTATATGAATTTACATTTTGAAAGCTTTTAGTATTGTTAATTAATATAGTATATATTAAGAAAAATCATGAAACATTGTGAAAGAAAGTCAAGGTTTCTGGTCCTAAAGAAGACCTGATATATGAAGCAAGGCTGGCATTGTGGTAGAGACAAATATCTCTTCGGTTATCTAAGTGAAGATAGAGAAAAGAGATCCTTCTGAAGACAGGATTTTTTTTTCCCATTTGATTTTTTTCTCTTCAGAAACTTAGATTTTTAAAAAGACAAAGTCTTTTATTACATGTTTGGCCAGTACTCATCTTACTTAGAATTTTCTTGAGGAAAAAAAAGCCAGAAAATAAACCTATTTATTTAAACCTTTTCAAATGTGCATTTTATGAGATATATATTGGGGATGTATCTGAGCATTTTATTACAATGTCCTGGCATATTAAATCCATTGTTTATTAAATAATATGACTTGAATAGTCTTTTTTTTATATATAAAATGTACAAAGAAAAGGGAAACCTGATTCAGATGAAGTGTAATATTATATATTTTCCAGTAAGCCTAAGATTTCATTATTTTAAGCCCAATATTTCATAGGTTTATCTAAGGCCTTTTTATTTTTAAAGGTAAAGTTAGTGGTAGTGGATATTTGTGTACATCTTCTCTATAGTCAAAACACTGCCCCAGACTACGGGTTCTGGAACATAAACAACACAGACCAAATTCTGTTCTTTCAGAAACTGAATAAAACATTTTGACAAATAACACATTAACAAGAGATTTAATATTATAGGAGTTAAATAAACACTTAGATTACTTACTTTGTTTGTCCATGATTTAAACAGTTCTGAAAAAGAAGACCTGGTATAAATATATAGGTCAAATACATGTAAAAGGACACCCAGACACTATGTACACAATGTATACACTGTATACACTATATATACAATGTATACACTATATACACAATGTATACACTATATACACTATATACACAATGTATACACTATATACACAATGTATACACTATATACACAATGTATACACTATATACACAATGTATACACTATATACACAGTATCTTATACACACAAGACACTCCTCTATTCATCTAACCATTGAGAATCTGGTCATTTGAACCCTTCAGTCTTGGCTCTGTTTTCCACTGCTGTGTTTCTGAGTAGGATTTTAGAAATTGTGGGTCAGTCCAGGATGGTGAACGATTTCTAAAAATCTTGGGAAGAGACAGTTCAAAGAGAAAGGAAGACAGAAAAGAAACACTGTGAGCCCAAGGCCCTCCAGTTAAAAACTTGAGCCTTCCAACCTACACAACCTACAGGGAGCACGCAGTCCAGGACCGAGCCACAGTCTAGGCTCCAGGTGTGGTCCAGCATGAAAAGGAGAGAGTTTAGCTATCAGGTCACACTACCGCAGATATCTCTGGAATTCCCAGGTCCTGAGGATATTTTCTGCCCAGCTTGAACAGCAAATTGGAGAAGGCCTGACCTCCTGTTTATATATCAATAAATGATTTTTAGCCTAAAAATGTACACTCAAGAGGTTGGAGATGCTGTTTTTGTCTTCTAGTGACTTGATCCCATCCTAGTCTTTCCCACTATTACCTAGTCACTAATTTTTCCATTTCTCCACCTTAAATCCCAACCCCTGTATGCATGTTAATTATAATTAATACATTAGGCCAAAACTTGCTACTTGACTGTTTTATCTGGACCTGCACTAATGTGAATCAGCTCAGCCCTTTCCAGGCCTTCTCACGTCTCTGCTGCCCTTTTAATAACTCCAACTACTGTGTTACCCTAGATGTCGAGTAAAAGTCAACTGATCCTTCCATATCCTTAACTAAAATCTGGTGTTCCCAAGAAGAAACCACATCCTTCCTCTCCTCTTCCAAATTATTGATTTGTCATTGCCTGCCATAAGCATAAATTTTAATAATACAGCAAAGCTCTTAAATATATTCCAATTATAGTCACCTCTTAATTATATATACTCAAGAAGTTCAGTAATGGGTTTTCTTGACCTTGGAATAAATTTAAAAAATATGTTTCTTGTTGCAGTGTTGACTTTCTGGATTCTCTTAGAACAATAATAACCACTGTTAGCATTAACTAGTCAGAAACCAAGTGCTATGGACCTCCTCAGGCCAAAAGAACAAAAAAATTAACATCTTATGTTTTTCTGCAGTTATTCTAGAACAGTGAACAATAAACTGAAAAACAAATGTAACAAACGTATGCCAAAAGTTTTCAAAGACCATATTAATGTTTTATGTTCTATCACATGAAGAACTAAAAAAGAAGACTAAATTCTTATATACAATAAGCCATGATTACTTTTGTCAACACTCATTTCTGTGATCAAAGAGTGTATATTAAAATTCATACTCATTATCTTCAAATGTACTAAGAGTTCCTTAACATATGTAAAAATGTAAAACCTAATAAATTCTGCAGTAGAAATGGGTTCAGTTCAGTTCAGTTCAGTCGCTCAGTCGTGTCTGACTCTTTACGACCCCATGAATCGCAGCATGCCAGGCCTCCCTGTCCATCACCAACTCCCGGAGTTTACTCAAACTCATGTCCATCGAGTCGGTGATGCCATCCAGCCATCTCAACACACTAGACTAAACAGCTCAAGTTTTTACCTTACCACTGTTTCTCATAGGATCACTTTATAAGTATGATTAGTTTTTTAAAAATGTTATATGACTCTTTAATCAACTAAGTAATTTTAAGGAAGTACTGGTTCAGTCATTCTTCCCTTTCCTGAAAGGCCAGAAGGAACCTCAGTTCAAGGAAAAATCCCAAATAATACCTGGAGATATTATTTTTAGAATTAAAAATTTATTTTTATGAGAAAATTACTGAATTAGTGAAAAAAAAAATCATTGTTTCTGGAGGGCAAGTCTATCATTTGAAATGGAAAAAATTGTTTTAATTTACAAGGTATTTCTTATCATTTTGTTGTTTGATCCTGGGAAATCCAGTGTCAGTTAGAAATAAAGAATGTGCTAAAAAGAGAGGAAATTTATACACGAATGCTGTGCATCACATTAGAAATAGGTGGAGGCTCTTATATAACGGAGAAATAAGTTCCCAAATCCTTGCCAAATGAGTACTAACTATGAACATAAAGGTGTTTACCTTTCATGAAGCCAGAGATAATTCCCTCCTTACACAGAAATCCAAGGAAGGGAAACTAAATAGACTCAGAGCTAATTTGCTCACATTTACATTTTCCCTCCTACCAGGTCACGTTACTTTTGAGTCTTAACCTGTAGCTTTGTGAGGATGAGCATCTGCTGTTAGAATGACAACAGAGCAAAACCTGGGTCCTCAGTTTCCTGCAGGTTTTAGAATTCTCACAACTTCATAATATCTCAAGCAGGAAAAATGGTATGTCATAAGCTCTGGCACAAAATGTGAAGTAACAGTGGAACCGGTACATGTGCCAGGTAGAACAACATATTTGTGGGCTAAAGACATCCACCATGTTCATCCCGGTCTGGTCTCCTTTGCTGTTTTAAGGATCTTTTGGTTTTTTCAAACTTAATGTTTGAGAATGTTTAATGAACATTACAAGATATGATGTCACTCAGGTTTGGAAATGACTGGGCTGTGTGTCCTGCATGAATTAATTAGCTAATTAATTCAATATAACTTTTAAATAATGTCTTCCATTAACTTTTAAATAATGCTCCTAGTAAGAAACAAATCACAGAAAGGCTTCCAAGAAAATTGTATTTATCTTGTAGTAGTAAAAAAAGATCTCTAATGAAATCATATTATATACTGTACCACTGGAATCATAGCTGCTTCAGGACAAATACAGAACTTCAAATTATAATTGGACTACTACACACTCCTAATCTGTTTAATGAGAGCATCTGAGGAAATTAAAGCATCATACACTATACACATATAAGCATATCTCTGTCAGATTTATTCTATCAGACCTATTCTATTGGTGCTCTGGGATATTAATCATAAACCTCTCCTACCAGGAAAAAGGAGAAATAGTGCAGGTCATATACAGTTATGTTCCCACAATTCATATTCCAGGAAACCCTTTGACCCATCTCTTGAGGTTCTGAAGTTTCTATCTTATTATGTCAAGAAATACTAAAGTACAACCTGCAATTCAAAGTGGAAATGTCCCTAATTTTTGAAAGATTCTAAAACTACTATGCCTATAAAGTAGGCATTAACTAGATTTGGATTACTTAAACAAATCCACTCCTTAGTTGCCTAAAACCAAGCCAGTTAACATTTTTCTCCAAGTCCCAGGATGGGAATATGTGTTATTATTTTAGGAAAACATTACTGCTCTAAGCACAGTCCCAGAATTCTATATCCTTAACTTCCTATGAATAAGTGAAAATGAGGTACTAGACTAGGGGGGAGGCAGTTTAAAATCAACCAGGCTAGAGAGATGTGTGTGTGTGTGTGTGTGTGTGTGTGTGTGTGTGTGTGTGTGTTGGGGGGGCAAGGCATTGAGGCAGGGGGAACTGAATGGGTAGAAGACCTGTGGCTGGATGAGAGAGCTTGGTTCATTCAAGGTTATGAAGATCTGTGGGTGGCAGAGCAAAGAAGGAGAGATCATTACACAAGAGGATGGACAGGTGGGCAGGGAGCAGTTCTTATAGGTTTTCTGTCTCTCTAAATTCTCAAAAGCCAGCACACGGACTGTCAGGACAAGACACTTAACTGGTGCTTGTTGCTTCAACAGTGTGATCAGTATTATTTCATTCCCTTCAGTCAGAAAGGACAG